CTCTCCGACTCCATTGAAGACCCCGACTTGATCCTCATCCTCGACATCGCTGCCCCCGGTGTTTCGGGACATCCGTCCACTGCTCATGGCGGAGTCCTGGCTACGTCCCTGGATGAAGCCATGTCCTATGCCGTGGCACTGTATGCGCCGGAAACGGGCCCGAAGCTGGTAGAGGATGAGCAACCGGATGGCCCGCATGTCCCGCCTACGCCGCGCGGAATGCTCTATACTGCCCAACTAGACATCCGCTACAAGAGTCCGGTTGCTGCGCCGGGGTATCTAGTTGTTCGGACTAAGGTCCTCGCTCGTGTGGGTCGCAAGTTCTGGGTGCGCGCGCAGGCCTTTCAGCCGCAGGATACAGAAGGTGCCGTTACCTCCCCCCAGGCGGAGGGAGAGCCAATGCGTCTTACCACGGATGCGATGGCGTTTTGGATGCAGACGGGACCATCGCTCTAATTTCCTTCTTTTTCTTTTTCTTCTGTGCGTTCTATAGATCTAGATTCTATTACCCGTGTATATAGTCTATGTACATATTGCATCGACCGGTAGATAGAGCCAGTCGTTCGGAGAAAGAGACAAGAAGAGAAAAGGAACAGGGTCGAGGACGATTATGAGACAGAAAGAAAAGGGAGGAAGAAAGAAAAGAAACAAAGAAAGAGAGGTATCTACAACTTCGCACGAGACCCGATATTGCGACTGGCACTCAACACCAAACCCACCTGCGTACTCAGCGCCACCACGTCCCCCTTATCATCCACAACCGTCACATCCAAATCCGTCCGTCCATCCCGCACCTTCTTCGTATACACCCGACTATACAACCACTCCACCCCTTCCTCCGGCAACCTCGTCTTCAGATCAATATTCAACGTGACCGTGGGAAACCAAAACAACCCCTTGCCACCCCCCACCGCCGCCTCCTCCGCCGCATTATCAAACCCAGCCAACGCCGTAGGAAACATATCCGTCAAATACACCAGCGCCTCGTTGGTCCACCGGGCATTCACATCCCCTCCAGGACGGAACCTCGCCCATTGCTCCGCATTCATCTTCCTCTCCTTCCTCTCCTTCTCACTAAGCTCAACAGGTACATAGAATTCTGTCTGCCCCGTCGCCTTTCGGAACTTCGAATGCTCCGGTTCGAATTTCCCCCACGTCCCATCACGCCCTGTCCTCCCTAACGCCCCCAAGTTCACCGATCCATCTCCATTCGACCCGGCCGCCGGCGCAGGACTGCTGATCTTCCACCCTGTCGTAGCACTCAGTCCCTCTTCGGCGTCCGCAGGACTGACGGTAATGTATCCTGCTACTTTGACTTCCAAGTCCTCATCTTCTGCTTCGGTGCCGGTAGTCGTAGTAGTAGTAGACGACTGTGATTGCTTCCTTTTGCCGCTATCCGGCTTCTGTAACAACATAACATGCAGCGTACTCGTCCGCCGTCCCAGCTTCGTATCCTGGACTTTCAGCACGGCGGGACCTGTCGCTGTGCGGCGGAGGAAGGACAGTTGCATGGCGATCGGGGTCGCGGGGCTGTTCTTGTAGAGAGCTGGGTGGGTGTGCGCGAAGTGCACGAGGGCGAGACGGTAGAGGATGGAGGTGGTGTAGCCACCATGGGGGACTGTAATAAACAGTGAGTATGCAATATGTAGTGGGGAAAGGTATATAAGTATCCTACCTGCTCCGATGCACCATTCGTCGCGGAGATGGGCAGAGTAGCGGTGCGAGCTGAGGGGGGTCACTTTGATGGCGGACTCGAAGGCCGAGCCGTGCGCTGGAGGTGGTGGTGGATGAGGGGGAGACATTGTCGGTCAGTGAGGTAGTAGGTCAGTTCTCGATGTTTGAAGGAGGGTGGTGTGGTGTATTTATGTGGAAATGGTAGAGAAAGTCTTTGGTCAGTATATTCTATCCATGGAAAAAAAGGAGAGACCAGCAGTTGAGAGAAGAAAAGCAAGTTATCAGTTTTGTCTCTATCTGTTCTATCTAAAACCAAAATGGATACCGAGGGAGGAAAATGCCTCGGCTGAATGTTCCACTTATCGGAATTACTAACCCGTCACAAGGTTCAGTCCTAATCAACTTACACAGTAAGTTTTCTAATAATCGTTACTATGTAGATCACTGGATTGGAGATTTTGCGTGTATTATGGCCTCGTCTATGTGACCCCCCTTGAACTCCCACAGCTGCCCTCTCTCTCTTCCTCTCTCATTCTATATTCTCCCTGTTTACCCCCAACGATACATTGAAAACCAGTCCGCACGCCTATTTGCTTGTTCTTGCTTTTGTAGTTGAAGATGTTCAAATAAAAATGTACTGATATGCCCGAAATATGTGCCCGTTTCATGCAACGCAAGTGAAGAGTTAATTTTGCCCATCATGTACGCTCGCTTCAAGTCATGTACTCGTAGATATTCTCATTCCGCATCGTTTGTCTTGTCACGGCCCAGTTCGGGTTGCCGCCAGCTTCTCCAGACACGATAAGACTCCTATTCGTCACCCTGCAGTTAGCATCCTTTCACTCCTTATCGTGAATTTATTGAGAGCAGCTTACCGGTCACTCCCTGTGTCAGAGTCGCCTTCGCTTCCGTGCTACGGGATCCGAGCGTCACCGTCATGGCGTAGTTGACTGCTCGCGCGCTGTCGAGCTTGTTGGCCCATCGGAACACTGATTCATCATCGCGACCATCTCCAATCGCCAGCAGGAACTCCGGCCGCGGCACACTCTCGTCCCGTTGGCTCTGCTTGAGACATGACCGCCATGCCACTTCCGCTGCCGATGCCTTGTTGATGCCCGCCGGTTCCACCACCAGCGCACGCTCCACGGGAACTGCATGCACCCCTTGGCTCAAACAAGCATCGTTGATGTGGCCAGCACACTCTGACGCCAGCCGCGACGCCGCCACCTGGTCCTCCGCCGACTCGTAGTGAAACATGAGCGAGCAGTGCCGCTGTTCGACCCAGCTACCTTCCGCGCGTTCCTGGTAGTATTCCAAGATGTGTGACACTGCCGCCTTCCACGCGTCCGTTTGGACCTTGTCCGTCAACTTCAGCCAGGTCTCCGAGTTGGGCTCGCGCACGAAGCACCCGTTTTCGGCAATCAGACCCAAGCCGGTGACCAGCCGGAACAGCCGCTCCATCTCCTCAGGCATGCGGGCGCTCATCACATACACCACGTTCCGCGGATCCTCGGTTAGTTCTGCCAGTGTTGTGATCGCACGCTGCGGAGTCGTCACAATAATACTCTTTGGTGAGCCCCAGGAGGCGAGAGTGCCTTCATAGTCCACGATGATCAGCCGGCGCGACGATCGATGATACATTTCCTCCAACTTGTTTATCTGAAGCCGGGGCACGGCCATGATCTCCCGGGACGACTGCTCGTTCCAGACCCGGCTCAACGTCTCACTGAATGACTTGACCCAGTTGTGGGTAGAGTTCTGCAGTACTGCCTGGTGTAGCTTCGTCCACACTTCCTGGCGCTCCTGCTCATCCCTCGACAAGGCGGTATGGATAGCTTCCGCACATTGACGGTAGTCCCAGGGGTTGACCAGAAGGGCATGGTCGCCAAACACCGACGCGCTGCCAGTGAACTCGCTCAGGATCAGGGATCCGTACTTTTTGTTGCCCCATTTGCCGTCCTGGCAGTAGACAAACTCATGGCTGGTCAAGTTCATGCCTTCACGTAAGCTGGTGATAATCAGGGCGTCTGCCACGGAAATCAAGGCGAGATATTGGGGGAAAGCCAGATCCTGCTTTAAGAAGACCAACGGCTGATGCGCAAGCGTGGAGTGAGTGGAGTTGATCCGCATCGCGATATCGGAAATGGTTGCTTCCAGCTCCGGCTGCTCGGTGGTGCTGGTCGCCACCTGGATCAACACCACCTGGTCTCGCCATTCGGGATATGTATTGAGGAAGAGTTCGTAGCTCAGCAGTTTCTGTCGGATTCCGCGCACCTGGTCGATCTTGTCCCGCGACACGATTAGTCGCTTCCCCTCGTAACGCTCCGAAATGGTCTTGATCCATCGTTCCACGTCTGCGGCCCGCCGGCGTTGGTCCCATGAAGTCGGGTCAATACCAATAGAGAATTTGCCAACGTTGACAAAGCGATCCTCCAGCTGCAGCCCATCATTGGTGGCCTCCACACAGAGGATGCGGCTGCACGTCTGGAGGAAGTGTCGACAATACTCATCCGTCTGAAACCCGACCAGGTTAGCACCCAGTATTCCCTCGAGAAGCTCCTTGCGAGGCGCCAAGCACCGGAACACCTCCGATGAGGGGAAGGCAATGTGGAGGAAAAAGCCAATCTGGGCATCGGGAAGCAGTTTCCGCAGCATGGCCGGGACCAGCAGCAGGTGGTAATCCTGCACCCAGATGGAATCACCACGCTTCCAGTTCTTTGCGATGCGCTCAGCAAAGGCTTGGTTCGTCTTGACGTAGTAGACCCAGGAGTGGTCCTCGTAAGCCTTGCTCTTGGGGTTGTCCGGAATCTGGTAATGGAACACGGGCCAGAGGATAGTCTTGCAGAAGTGCGTGTAATGGCCATCAAAGTCACCGTCACTGACGTAAACGGTCACGGAACCGTACTCATCTTCGAGCTTTTCGGCGATGGCCTCCTTGGTGTGCTCCGGTAGCGCATCAGTGGGCATCCCCAACGTACCCACCCAGACCTTGTCTTCCAGCTGTCCGGCGTCCGTGGCCGATCGCACAGCATTGCGCAAGCCTCCGTTGCCCTGCTCGGCCGTCTCGATCGTCCAGTCGGCGTAGGAGAATGAGCTTTTGCGACTGTGGTCCGCCCAGCTGTCCCGGATATGCGAGGTTGGTGTCTTCGGGACCGATCGTGGCTTTTCTTTGGGCGCCTCTGTCCCTGAAGGGCCGATTTCTTGATGCTTGAGGATCGAGGGTGAGGCCGGGAATGCTGCTCGTGGGCGAGGTTGGTTCAGGGCTAAGGTGGAGCCCCAGGCTGGGGAGTGAGCTTCGCTCTCCGTCAACAGAGTCACTTCGCCGTCAGTCTTGGGGAAAGGAAACCCGGTGTGCTCTTGTTCCGCCTTGGAAATGTCTGTGGAGAAAATGCATTCATGCTCAGTAGTGGCACCTGGTGTAAGGCCAACTTGGGGCGCTCCATTGTTCCTCTCGAACAAGCTCAGAGTCGCGTTTGGGTTAGGAGTGGAATTCTCAGCGGGATTGGTTGGTTGAGGGCTCGCCCCCTCCGCCGGACGAATCTCGGGTTCATTCTGATGGAAATTAACCGTGTAGGGCAGAAAACTGAACCCCGCGACAGTCAGAAGAAAACACTAGTAGTTGTGTACATTGCTAGGCACTTACAGTGAAGCGATGTAGATGGTCATGGCGACAGCGGGGTAGCTGGGACCCCGAAACGAGTCAAACCCAGTAACCGAAAGAGAAGAGGGAGTAGAAGACGAGAGATGTACAGAAGACTGACAATTAACCTACCGCCCAAAGAGAGAGCGCGACGGGACAATGGGAAAAGGAGGAAGGGATGAACAGGGAGGAAACACAGGGAGGAAAACGGGGAGAGAGAGAAGATGGAAGAAGATGAGTGGAAGAACAAAAAGTGCAGGTTCTCATGGCTACGTCATGTGCTGGTGAAAGGAAAAGCAAAGCGACCAGCGGGTTTTTTGTTTGAATCTGTTGGGTTTGTCTGGTTCCAGGTTGACACCATTCTTAGGTAATTCCCTTCATTTCCATCAGACGATTCTCTTGTGTCTAGTACTTGGATATCTTCAGTATTACTTCCCTGTTTTTTTTCCTGCCTAAATATTCACCCCTGCTTTGGGGACTTTGAACAAGTCTTTCTGCTGATGTTCTTCACGGGTCTCCACTCGGTCCCGCCATTGGCCCAAACCATGTTAGTCGGTCACGTGCCCTTATCTCTGCCGATCAGTTGCGGCTGCCTCAGGCGCCCCTCCCTTCCATTTCCGGCGCATCGATTCTCCGCTTCTCTCTTTCTTCCTCTTCTTCTTCCTCTTTGTTTCCTCTCCTACTCCCTCATTCCTGATTTCGCCGTATACTCACCCTGCCATGCCCTTGCGCGTTACCTCGGCTCCTGTTTCTGGTATCAAGAAGAACCGAAAACCCGCTATTTCGAGGCCGCGGGCCTCTCCCTTCGCCGCCCATGCCCGTCGCAAACCTTCGGCGCCGTCATCATCCGGCACTTCCAAGATCTCCAGCGAGCAGGATGAGTGCGAGCAGGGCCCCCTTCCAGATCTCGGGCCGTCGCGATACATCTCCGAAACTGCCCCCGTAACGGATGTGGTTGAGGCGCTCCAGTACATTCGCAACAGCATGTTTGACGATCTTCCCCGCCGAGCGGGCATGAATAGCACGCGCATCGCCGAGGTTCTTAACTTCCGTCGCTCCCTGCCTCCCCTTGCCTCCGTCGCACACGTTCATACGCTGCTGGAAGCACCCACCAAGGTCGAAAAGGAAATTATGGAGCTCGTTCGCGCCGGTCGGGTCCGCCGCTTGATCGTCCCCGGAAGAGGCAACGATGCCGCTGGCTTGGGCGATTGCTTGGTATTGAGCGAGGAATGGGACGGATTGGTACTAGATAGCCCTGCTTTGGAAGCACCTTTGAAAGGTGAGAATCTCGCTACCATTCAGTCATTCATACAGCAAACTGATCCGTGTCAGAGAAATTCCTCGCGCTGCTTAAGCGGATCGGAAACACGTGTGCAATTCCTGGGGCAGCCCTCACTCCGCCGGAGTGTATGGCCCTGGTCCGGGCTGGATTTCTCGTCTCTTCTTCGTCCCTAGCGAAAGGCTCGTCTAGCTTAGCTTCTCTCCCCGTCTTTCCTGCGACCTCGCCTAGTCCAGCCTCAGCAAGCCGAAGTGGCGCTTACACTCTAAGCGAGGTCGGAGCAAACCCTCGTTCATCATCAACTACTGCGACACTTTTCCTATCGCTTCCCAATACGGGCCCCTACCTTCGTCTACTGAGCGCTGGCCGCTCACACCTCCTCTCGCTTCTGAAGAAGTCTAGTTCTAGCGAGGTCCCCGTTTACCTCCTGCGTGACCGCTGGGACGGGGCGGTCGAGAGTGAAAAGAGCTTCAGTGTAGCGAAGAGAGCCCGGGGGGAGTTTTCCGGCATCTTGCCGGGCCGGACGAAAAAGTACAAGGAGCTCTACGGAATGAACTTTCGCTGGGTTCTGGAGGAGGCGCTCGGGGCGGGATTGGTCGAAATCTTTGACACTGGCAGCGTTGGTCCCGGGGTGCGTTGCCTGTGATCGAGTGGATTGTCCGATCAAGGATGGTTCTAGACCAAATGACCCGAGGCATGAAGTGAAGGATGCTGCCATATAAGCTTGGCTGCGTTTCGATGCGTGCTTGCCAGAGTTTGTCTGCCACGGACGCGACGCCGACAGGCCCGTAGTCGAACGAATCAGTCGGCTTCTCACGACCAAATGATTGTCAATGTTCCACATTGCTCTCCGGAGCATGTGAGCTCACGAATATATAAAACAAATAGATCATGTACATAGCCTAGCATATACCCAGACCAATTCATACTATATAATGCGTAGTGTCGATGCGAACCATCAGATAATATCCTGGCAGGGAAGAGTAAGTGATGTGATTTCGACAGAGCGAGCCATTCAAATTTCATCACGGTGAATCCGTTGGCTGGCCTCTGATTTTGTTGGTGAACCTGTCATGATGTGCTGCAAGTCTCCTGTATGCCTCACCTCAATCGTGCCAGTCAAAGCGACCAGCTAGGACACGTCGCATGCACATCATATTCATAAACCAGACATGTAATTACTCTTATTTCAATTAACATTGATGCCATTGTGTGAGTCGAGTCCCACTGACATATCATACGCCCCATGATGAAGTCTAATGAACTTAGTGTCAACGGGCTGGATCGGTATTTTGCAGCTGAGAGAAGAGGAATGAGACGAAGAACGGAAGCAAGCAATGAGGAAGGAAGGGAGGAACTGAATGTTAATAGCACGTTCTACCCGATAGAAAGCATCTAATTAAACTACCTCCTTCCACTTTACCCAAAGCATTAACTACTGCCATCAAACTTCAAGCCTCATCTTTTCAAATCTCATCACCACCAACGTAGTATATCCATCTCACAATGTACCTCCATCTCAACCCACACCCCTTCTCCATCCTCCCCTCTCATCCCGCCCTCGATGAAACAGACACCATTTCCTCATCAACCCCAGCCCATCCCCAACTCCGCTCCTTCCTCCACGCCTGCCTCACCGAATCCCAAACCCTCCTGTCCTCCATCCCCACCACCTTTCGCCGCGACCACAAACCCCGCCGCGCGCCGCCATCCACCGCCGCCATCCACCTCTACACGCGCAACGACAATCAAGAAGGAGACTACTGGGTATGTCGACAGAGCACGCACCAAGATGCAGCAGTGACGGGGTCGGCCTCATGGGAAGAATTCCGTTCCGGGTTACGAGAAAACCATTCCGAGAATGAAATGGATTATACGCCCAGTGTGACGTCCGTGGTGAAATTGGTGGAGTGGCCGTCTGAAGTCGATGTAGAAGGTGGTTGGGGGAAGGTCGATGTTCATGGTTAGTACTACAACTCGGTCCCATGCTTATTTTCTCCCCTCCCTCCTCTCCTTTGTCTTTAACCGATATCTTTTATTTCCTTTTTTTATATAATTGTGTGTGTGTGTGTGTGTGTGTGTGTGTGTGTGTGTGTGCGTATAAGTATTAGTATACTAACTACGTATATCTATGCAGTGAACCTCATCACGCATACCTTCCACCCCACAATTCTGATTGCGCCTCGCTCGTTCCTTGTCTTGGTGATTTCGGCGGACCGAGCAGCAGCAGCCGGGGAGCGACATGGGTTTGTGACGATCCAGATCCCACTTGCTGTTGAGTCGAGTCCCGAAGCTGTCCGGAAGGAGATCATGGCGGCAGTGCCCCGGAATACGATCTTCGCGTCCTACGCGAGCGTGGAAGAGGTCATTGCGACGGAGAGCGGGCTGCAATGGACTATGGCGACTACTTCAGATGCTGGCGGGGCGATTCCTCGGTGGATCCAGCGGAGCTGGACCATGGGCGGAGTCCCTAAAGCTGTTGTCGCCGACGTGGGCTTGTTTCTGGCCTGGACGGCCCGCCGGAGGTCTTAAACAAGACCCATGACAGTCTGGGGGTTGAGTACTTGGCACCAAGGTCGATCACAAGAATGGTGCAGAACAAGAAGCACTACAGATAGGTTGCACTCCCACACCATTTCACGTTTCACGGTCTAGAAATGGTACTGGTCCGAGATTGTAGATTACAATTCCATTACCTGCCGTTATTGAATAGACAATTGAATTAATCAAGCCCGTCGCTCACGTGTAGTGATCTCCTGAGCTAATGATTCGAAATTTTGGCCTCCAGACTCCCGGCTCCTCTTTCACGGCAATGGGATGCTGATACATACAAGGCATGCGGTTATGATGACGCCGAAGAAGACAACGTGATATAAAATGACAAGGGTTGCTGTCATCCAGCTAAAGTAGAAAGATATGCCAATGACCCTATGAATCGGGAACCTCCACCCATGTTCTGCCAGTACTCAAAGACTGGCAGGCGGATGGAACGTTACCACAAACGAATAAAGAATTTCTGACCTCAAAATGACACAATCGTGGATATTCCACGTCGAAAGGTGCGATTCGATATAGGAAAGATGGAACAGGGCGGGCCGAGTCCGAGACCCATCATCAGTAACATAAATGTATAGAGTCAAAGTGGGATAATGCAACGCGCAAGCAGGAGATGGGATTGAAGGACCGAACCGGGGAAAGGGAAAGAAAAAGGAAATGGAAGTTGAGACAGTCGTCGCAGGTGGGAAAATTATTCACTTGGCAGTAGAAAGGGTATTATGGTGATTCGCATCAGCGCGTTTGAAATCCATCACAGAAGGGATGGGGGAAGTGATATCTAATAATGAACAAAAGGAACAGGAGATGTTTGTGCACTTGACACGGATCCTCCGTGAGGGTAGAACTGGTTCACCGTTGGGATGTACCAGCAGCGTTTGTCTCGGTTTGAGACTGAGGTGCACTTTGGCTTGACATTGCTAGCGCGTTGACGTTAGCTGATGCAAGTTGGGCCCTTAGAGCGGCAACTTCCGTCCGAAGTCCATTTAATTCTTCGTGCACCGAGCGGACATAAGCCCACAGCTTGTCTTCCCGCTCACGGAACTGCTCGATGAGATTAGACTCATGAGGACCAGTGATCTGGGTGCCATTATTCGAGGCCCCTTCCGATCCAGGTTTCGACGGTAGTGGACCACCGTGGTTATTTGTGTGACTGTGAGGGGTCATGTGTTTGGTAGCCGTCGAAGGCGCCGGTGGCACTGATCCTTGAGAGTGAAGGCCAAACCGAGAGTCAGCCGAGTTCATCCCCGGGGGCGGCGGGGGCTGGGGAGCACCCGGTTGCGGTGGAGGCAGACCCAAGCCTGAAGCAGCATGATTCGTTACGGAGCTTGAGGAAGATCCTGTCCTGCCGAATGTCTGCTGCTGGAACGACTGAGCCATACCAGGTGAATGAGCACGATGATGGATATTATTCTCCGGGCCATGGCCAAGCTGATGCGATGACAGTGCATTTGGGGACAATGGCTTCGGGCTCCCCGTGATATTTGTAGGGAAAACGGATGCACCTGACGGTTGACCAGGCGGTGGGAATGTCATGTTTCCGGATTGCGATACGGGAGACGTTGATGCACTAGAGCCACCATGGCTTGGAGGAGGGAAGAGACCCCCGGGGGAAGGTCTGCCTGAAGCGATCGGAGGATATGTGCTGGGCTGGCGCGGTTGATAGCTCGTAGTGTTCGAACGTGAGATGGAGTCCGTCGACATATCATGCTTCTTGATGCTGGGCATGAGTCGCCGCTCTTCTTCCTCATCCATGCGCTCTGGCTCAGCTGTGTACACAAGTCCATCCATCGTATCATCCGCGGCTCCAGGAGCCGGAGCCTCGCCATATTCATCCTCGGGAACGTAGCTTCCCATGCTTGCTCTGCGCCCCGCGCATCCGCCTTGGCCCTTGTTGTGGCGAGCTAGAGCGTCGCCACGGGCGAACCTGCGCCCGCACTTAGGGCAAATATGGGGCCTTTCGCCAGTATGAAGCTTTGTATGTCTCTTTAGATCATGCAACCGACGGAAGCGCGATTGACATGTTTGGCAAACGTATGGCTTTTCCTGACTATGCGTAAGCAGATGGCTCTTCAGATTATGATGCCTTGTAAACTCCGTGGCACAGTATGGGCAACGATGCTTTTTGGCCGACGGTGATCGCTGGCCCTTGTGAAAACCAGAGCCAGGTAAGCTGAGACCACGACGGGGGTCATTAAAACTGGCCGTTGGCATCGGATACGAGAAGGCTTTGTTGCCTGTTTCTTGCGGCATTTCTCCTTCATCACGGTGGCGAGGGTGATCGCCATCTGCAGAGCCAGAATCCTCGATAGGACCTGGACTAGCTACGGTTGAGGCATCGATAAGTGTGTTGTTGTTATCGGCTGCCCCAAACGTATCAGACGCATTGCCCGGGCCCGAATGTGAATCAACTTGCATCTGGTCTGAAGAAGTTTGCATGCCTTCGTTCACGGGATGTGTCTGCTTCTCGCTGGCACCGAGGGCCTCTCTCGCGACTTGTGAGCTGTGCTGTTCCGACTCCTTCTCATGCTCCAGCGGGCGGTCTGTCTGGCCAGCCGTGGCCGGCGGCGCGGTCGTCGTCATTGGTGGCAGCGAATCTCCGGAGCGCGAGACGTTCAGTCCAGCGCTGGCGATAGAGGACAGGCTTGAATCAGGTTTCGACTGTTTTAGGAAAGCGAGGGGTTCCGATGGAGCAGATATTACGGGGTTTGATGTCCCAGACAATGGTTTTGAGATAGTAACGGGTTCGTTGTTCGATTGCATCAACGCAGCCATGGATAATGGATGTTTCGCGCCAGCCTGAAAGGGTTGGCGAAGGTGTGGGAAAGCTAAATCAACAGAGGGCATGTCAGTAGGGGTCGTCTTTGTCTTCCGGTGATGAGTGGGGAGTCATGGAAGATCCAGGGCGGCCAAAGAAGAGACAGGAAGGGACCGAACATATAGAAAGCAATGAGGCAGGACAGAAGAACGAGTAACAATGATCAGAGGCACTGTTGCGTGGGGCGCTCACCTAAAACCGAGTGTGGCGCAAGCTGACGGGAGGTTCAGCCTTCGCGCGATGTCTTGTCAGACAATGAGGTCCCACAGAGACAGATACGGGCCTCGCAGGAAGTAAAAATAGCGGTCAGCCTTGCAATCAGATGAAGAAGGTTGAGTCTAGCGCCCGCACGATCTGAATCCGGATCTGGTGGGAGGAGGGGGGTGTGGAGGGGACTTTAGTCCATCTGGTGGAAAGCCGTATGAGACCGGGGTTATACGGCGGAATGACAATGCTTGGGTTAGGCTGCAGGGAGGAAGCTGGAACCCGCGATTGTCAAAGCAACGACGTCAGGAGAATTATGCAGAGCTATGTCGTTCGAAAGCTGGTCAATGTACAAGTGACATGAATCTCCAGCAAAGCATGAAGTTCTCGAAAGTAGAAAAGAGAAGAAGGCAAGGGGGAGGAGGAAAAGGATGGGGAGGAAAGATGGAGAGCTTTCGGGACACGGAAGAGGGACTGTTGGCGGAAGGATGTAGCAATGAACGAGAATCCCCAAAGAGCCAGGAGTATTGGGCGATGATGAAGCGTTAAAAAGGGAAATGGAAGAGGTGGGACCGGGTTTATTACGGAGTGGAGTGAATAAAGAGAGACGCCAAAGGAGGTGAAGAAAAAGCGGAAGAAGAAGTAGGTGGAGAGAGAAGCATAAAACCTGATGCAGACAGACAGTGGCAGAATGGATACAGGAGGGAAGTTCAGGCAGGCAGGCAGGCAGAGAATAATATTGTAGGTAGTGTAGTTAACTTGGTTCGTAGTAAGCAGGAGGTGAATAACTAACTAGTTAGTTAGTTAGCAGTAATACTAAGGAAAGTACTGTGAAAGGTTGTAATGTTGGTTTCGGGTCGCCTAGGGAGCAGCCGCGGGGATCGTTCCTGATTGGGTCAGGCGGTCAAAGCGAAACAGACTTCCAGGTGGAAGGAAAAAAAAAGTGTCCTATCAAAAGACAAGTCCAAAGAAGACGTAATGATACAATCACAGCAGAAAAAAAAGAAAACTAACGAGGAGATATTCACCGTGAAACCAAGGTAAGTCTGATAACATTCAACATACAAACAGAGAGTAAGAGAGACAGAGAGGGAGAGAGGGAGAGAGAAGGAGAGACGAGCCGGAGGACGAACACGAGGAAGGCAGAGTGGCTGGAGAAGTGGCCCGTACCATCGATGACCAAGGTTACGGGCGGCTCTGCCGGGTGGACGCTGGTCAGAAAACCGGAAACTTTCCAACTTTCCCGTCCCATTCGAGGCGTTGCGTATTAATCACCGCCGCATGGGCTGAGCAAACTGAAAGCTTGCAGATAAATAGATGCTCCTGTATGGAGTATAAATAAAAGTAAATTCGCCCATTTTGGGCATCATCTTGAAGACTACTTCTACTACTACTACTACTACATAATTACTGAATAGCTTAAAGTGATGGATGCTCTCCTCCATGTTGGAAGAGACCACTGCGGAACCTTTCCCCTCAGCATGGGCCTTTGGGGCTGAGTATACAAGATCTACTTACTAGTGAACTACTCACTAGTAATTTACTGCAGAGCACGGTGTACAGAGTGCCTGCCTTACCAGATACACTAAAGTTATTAGTCTCGATAACTGAAAAGCAGCTTAATATAGAGAGTGCGTCTTGGCAACCATGGAGAGGCAAGAAAGTATTCCATTCTTATGATCCACATCCATGATAGTTTGATTTACCCTGATTGTATTTGTGTATAAATGATTGCCTCATTCATGGGGATGTCGGGTAGGTTCAACAACTTGTCTCTATCAAACATTCACGGAATAAAAGGGGTTGCTGCCACTGTACGTAAGTAATGTCCAAATGTGGAGAATCGACTACTGTTACTACAGGCCATACTACTGCAGGTTACATAGTACGTTTGCGTCTGTTGGTTAACTTCGACAGACCCTACAGCTGAAAACTTGATTTCATTAGCTGACAACCGACGCCTTGCCACACTTATGGGACATTCCAGAGCATGAAGAAATGAGCGTAAAGCACAAGACACAGCCATACGGCGGCGGTGGCTGAACGGGGGGACACAGACAGTAAGTTGTCTGCCGACCCCCATTCCATCCATGCACGCAGAAGTGGGACGAAAAGAGAAAAGAAGGAAGAGGAAAGCTGAAAGTGCCAATAGAGTGCGGTGTTCTCCGTATGCAGGACAGTGGAACTACCGAAAAGGAAGAAAAATTCTCTACATTGGGCCACTGCGTTGGGAGGGCTATACTACATTCAGGAGTGCTGGACGGAAAATGAGGCTGTGTGGCTAGGCTGAAACTTCATTGTGGCTGGCAGCCCAGCTGCGGAGAAAGCTGGTGGCTCTGCGCGCCTGACCAGTTGGAGCCCGTTTTCTAGAACCGAGTGGGGGGGTCACACGGTGGCTGTACAGGCCCACCGCCTGCCCGACATGCGGTTTGGGCCTCTCTCATTTGTTCACCACCCACCGCAGCTGCCATGTGTGTGTCTCCCCCCTCTCATTTTTCTATTCCTCCTAGTAATCATGTAACTACTACTAAGTTCACAGTAAAGGAGTAGTAGTACTTTGTGTCATACTAGCAATGTTGCTCTCCACCCTTGTGACCCAGGTTGGTACTACATAGGCCCTCCCATACTCACTATTACCCACTACTACTCCATGGTCTCTCTGCACGCCATACTTTAGATCCCATGGTAAGCGAAGACGTCCAGTATCTCAAGTATCTCAGCATCCATATATCACTACTTAGTGCTTTCTTTTGGCCTTTGCCTCAATATCGAGACATTTAGGGTCATCTTCAAATCTATTTGAAGAAGAGCCGTACGTACGCCTAATATCTGATCTTCCCTGCTACTACTGTCGAGGCTGCGATCTTCGTCCGCAAGCTCCCTCATTGTCCCCCTTGCCTTTATAACATTGTTCTATCGTCACGGAGTACTCCGAATCCCTTTGGTACCAAGGGCTTATATCCCCGAGTTCATGATACACAGGTCTTTCAGAGATTGTCCACAACAGCATAGTCCACTGGACGCCTTGACTTACGCCGTGGGATATTCATCATTTGAAGTTGCCTGCCATAGTGAGTCACTCGTCCTATTCCCGTCAGAAAAAAACTTTCCGTAGCCCTCTGCATCGCCGAAGGTTCTCTTGCCGTTGAGTAATTTATCAATTGGTGGTCCAAAGCATTCGTCAGGAGGTTTTTCAGGCAACATCAAATATGTCATGCGCTAGTCGAGGCAACCACGATGAAGAATATGGTTTATACTACATGCAATAGACAAAGTTTTAGTACTGCAATGAACTACTATAAGTGGGTTTCCAACGTTGGGCGTAAAACCCTGCTTATTGAATGCCTACTACTTGCCCATGTCTGTCTTCCCCCGTCACTGATCCAGGGACTACCGGCTTGTGGTGATATGGGATGTTACACGGCCGATACCCGGGTGGTCTTGGTCTTGGTCTTCAAACGTTATACGCTACTAGGAACAAAATATTATACTAGGTGAATAGATAAAGACCTGCTTATTTATCTATCATGTCATGGATGTCCTCGGATTGTAAGCAATACAGCTACATGCTGATCATCTAGGGGCAACTCATACCAGTTGATGCTCAGTTTCTGAGTAAACAGCTTTCCTTTTGTCTGGATAATAGCGTTTCTATGGCTTTCACTCACTCCGACAAATGATCATTGTTTCGAACCGTTTCCCGTCTTCCTGGAGAACGAGGCTGGACTTTTTTCTAAGGTCATCCATCGACTTCTAAGCTAATACTCCCGTCACAGATCTTTGATTTTCTCAATAGAGGGGTTATCCTTTATAAAATGGGTTCCTGTGATCTTTGATTTTCTCGAGGGCTTAGCTTGCTCGCCCATGCCTGCCATGATAGAGGATTGCTTGGTTGACATTTGCATACCGGCAATTGAAAGTTAACTATGTTTCATGCTGGTGTAATGAATAGAACTCTTTTACAAAGTGCCTGCCCCTTTTAGTGAGGTAGAGAGGGACGCCAGACACCGTTTGTGATGTGGAATCTGCAACATCTACTATCTTTTCGTCCGTGATTATGCTTATAGTGTATTCGCAATGCTGGATCAGATCTTGCCTATCGTATTCACCTATGGTTCGGGTTTACAGAAAGAGCTAAGCTCTGCGTGTGTGTGTGTGTGTGTACCAAGAAACTATATGCATGAGTGCAGGACATGCCATCGCTCAAAGGGGTGACTGAAAAGTCTCGATATGATGTTGACATCTCATTTTCTCGGGCAAGCCTGACTCTGAGCTTCAATAGAAGTACCTAGTGCAACCAAGCAGCAGGAATTCACAGGGCTGAAAGCTGCGCTGATCTAGCTTTGAGCCACTGGATAGTGCATCCGCATTTCTCAGCCCTCAGGAGAGGGGGAGAAAAGCCTTCATTTTGAGCTAGCGCTCATGGAAGGCAATATGTACGACTATTGCCGCTCCCAACTTTCCTACAACTTCATGTTGTTCCAACACATGCAGCCCCTGTTGCTGGATTACCAACTTCATTGCTAAAGAGCACGAATGCTTGGATTCACACTAGCTCATTGGTCTAGGATGGTCGGAGAGGTCGACTGCTAGAATTCAACCTAAACTGTTTCTGAGATATCACAGACGACCTAAGTCCTTTCGGTGCTCATACAGATGATATCCCTGTACCTGATCTGGTCCTGGATTGGGGAGTCTCGCAGAGTGTTTCCCTCCCTCCATCCAATGCAAGGTTCCATCTCCTGGACGAAGGGATCATGGCCTGTGTTGTCATGTCGACAAGGAAGAGTTAGGAGAAAGGCAGCCAGAGAGTTCAGAGAAGAGGGCGCTTAAGCGCCGTGACGAGAATGGGGATGTGATGACCGGTGCAGCTGGTCGCGGACTTAGCTCGACACGTGAGGGGACAAAGAGGGGGAAAGGGAAGGTCAACTACATCCCCTCCCAACCCATCAATTCAACTTAGTCCTTTCAATCCTTCCACCGATTTCACCCCCAGCGACTAAGTATGGACCAGGCCAGGGTGAGTGTTCATCCTGTCCCCATCTTTTTCCGAAGCACACCCCCCAATCAACTGATCCATTCCCAGTAGATAAACCCCTCATGGCATTTTCCTTCTTTTCAAGCTACCCGGAACCTGCAGCAGGAATCCTGTTGTTGACCCTCGCGGGCGTTGATGGCCGGCGGTTCTGCAACGGCTGTGGTTGGCTGGGCCCCGAGACGATCAACAGTTGGCGCCGGGAAGGAGAAGCCAGACCGGCTGATTGACTCTCCTCATTCGCTCCACAGGTGACAGACCGTGCATCTGGAGTGACAGCACGGGAACCTCGATGGCCTTTGCCCCGGCGTATCGCGACTTTCCCCACTGTGATAAGCCAGTCCAACTGCTCTAGTGGTGTTGCTAGATATCCAGTCACCGTGCTCCTCACCCCTGTCGTCCTCAACTCACACCAAGACCATCTCTCGACCACCCAATCACCGGCTTCCCCTTGATGTGCTGCATGTTGCCGGGCGCTTATTTTCCCCTTCACATACAAACCATACAAGCCAGCTCGCGATGTGCGCTCCCCCGCCTGGCGACGGATGGCGAGGCCAGGGCCCATCATTGATATTCAAAGCGGTCATGCTGCCCAGCGATCGTCTTGCCTTCGCGGCTCCTTCATCTTATTTTTCTTCTCTGACTCTAAACGTATCACTTCAGCCTTGCGCTGTGGCTCGCCCCTTGGTTCAACCTGTGCAGGACCCAAGAAGTGATCTCAAGTGAGGTCAAAAAGCCAAGCAGTAGGCCTTCGGTTCGTTTTCTTCCACGTTGATCTCTTACCATATGTCTCCCAGGGTGAATGATGTCCAACTGACAGTCCCTCACAGTCAGGGCTTGCACGCTTGCATCATTGTCGTCCCGTATTAGGTATGTGCCTTTTCGACCTTCAGTCTTCAGTTTGTGAGGACATGATCCTACGCACTCTGCATTGGCTCTTTCTTGTGTTCTGCTTGGAGGTTAACAAATGGGATTATAGGCTTAATGCTTGTGTAGCTGTGCTGTCACAAGTGCCTATTGTACCCTCCCCCCGCAGTTGGCAATCTACTTGGTGAAGGTTGAGAGCTGGTCCTCTTCACACCTTTTGTGTTCTCTGCAAGACCCTTCTACGCTTAGCGACACTGCCTGCCTGCATTTCCCGAAAGTCACCATCGCTCTCCTCGGACTTTCGAAGCAGTGTCTCCTGTGGCTCTCGTCCACGGTCACAAATCCAGGGTAATGGCGCTACCATCACAACCTGCTGTGACTACAGAGGAACGGAGCTCTTCCGAGTGGTCGAGTTCCTCGTTGAAGGGTGGCCGAACAGCTCGCTTCGCTGAAGCAACCATGATTCACTCCCCTACTAGTCCCGGCGATACCGGAAGGTCCCCCTTTGCCGACCCTCCCAGCAATTCGCAGACGCCTCCCGACGTGTCTGACCTCGGCTTCGGATATGTAGCTGCAAGTGACCCTGCAAAGCATGTCTCGCATCACGATATTCCGGCCAATGATCAAAAGGGTTCTCTCAAGGTTCCAGGCACTCCAGGCCGTACTTTGAACCCATTGAGCCCAACGTTTCGAGAGGAGTTTTTCGTGGAGAAGCAAGAAAAGGTCACGGAAAAGGAAAACCAGAGAGACCTGGTAAGTGAGTGCGAGCGTACTCGTTCACTTTCCTGGATACTTACCTGGGTTGCTATAGCGTATCAAGTTGCGTGTTCGGGTAGCCAAGGTGTTCCTTCGTTTCATCAACCTTGGCTGCAGTATGATCGTCCTTACCATTCTGGGAACGACACTGACTGTCTTCAACGCGACGAAGTCACTGCCTGAGCGAAACACTTCTCCTCCCTGGGAATTTGGCACAAACCCTTGGCCGCAATATCTGCTTCTGGCCGTTTCATGTCTCTCCTTGATTGCCTGCCTTGGTGTCTTCTGGGGCTACTGGAGAGGTGGACGCAGACGTGCACAGAAATATGCGGCTTATTATTCGCTCCTATCGGTGTTTCTCTTCATCTTTCAACTAGTGATGTGGATTGTTGCCGCCGCAATCTTTGAACATTCGAAGGCTACTGGAGACGACAAAGACCTTTGGGGCTGGGCTTGTGTCCACAACGAGAGAGAACAGCTGTTCAAAGACCAAATCGACTATGCACTCCTCTGCCGTCTGCAAGTAAGTCATCCATCCAGGCAGTCCATGCTACATATTAACGAACATCTCCCAGGACTGGGGATTGGTCTGTGCCGTCATTGAAATCGTCCTTGAAGTCTTTGTCCTCGTTATCTACGGTGTCATCTTCTACCGCTTCTGGAGCAAGAGAAAGCTGGCCAGGTCGATGGACCGTCGAGACAGAGCACGAACAGACCTGTACATCGCTCAGCTGCGCCAAAACACCGTCCCTAACACGCCCGGATTTCCCACCATGCCCAAGGCTCCCTTCGTGTCAACCTCGATTCCTCAAGACCAGTACTCTGCTGCTGAGAACGGGCAGATGTGCACAACCCAATTTGCCACTCCCCCGACTGATTCCAAAAAGCAGTCGGCGTTCCAGCTTCAACCACCCCCAATTCGGGTGCAGCAGGCATCTCCGCAGCCAGAGCAGAGTGAATTCCCACCACCACCCGCACCAGCTCCGGTTCCAAGTGCCCCTAACCAGCACATGGGCGCAGCACCCGGCGAACGAACCTATGAATCTGTGCCCATTCCCGGTGCTTATTCCGGCCCCATGAGTCCTAGTTTTCCCCACGGAGCCCACCAGTAAAAAGCCCTGACCGTCACATTGCTGGCTCGACATGAGTGGATAAATCGAGGAAAAAAAAAAAAAAAAGTGTTCAAACACTGGCATGTCAGTCCAGTCTAGCCTTCAAGTACTTGATATTGAAGTTTGCATATAGCTCTCGTCCTCTTTGATGATGATTGATTTGTTATCGATATGACGCGGTCCCTCACCTGTTCCTGGACTACCTTACGGCCATTTCCCTCCATCTATTGATAACCCTCCACTTTCTATATAAGTGTCAAATTTGTTGTCTTTTTTGCTTTTATACCAGTGATACACTCAACTACGTTGCCTTTTTGTCTAACTGTTCCCTCTGTTTCTTTTTGCCGTGGCCTACACTGGCATATCATGGCATGTAATTGCAGACTACAAGTAATGGTCGGGTATGGTTAATCCTAGTGTTGTTGTCCTTGGTTGCGAACAGCCAGGTCATTGGGTTGCATTAGTTGGACAATTGATATCTTTTCGAATAAAGAGTAGTTAACCAGATCTCTTCGTTATTATGTAAACAAGGAAGTGACATGGTGTACTTGATATATTCAGGAACGTATGAACATGTAGAAAGAATCACGAAACCATAACGGTAACAATCCCTGACATGTAGGCCTGTCATTTGCCCAAGAGGAACGCGAAGAACTCAAAAATCGCATACCACCCGCCCGACCACTAGAACTCCCTCCCAATAGAAACCCAAAGCCTATATCCAACCGGAAGAAAAATAGAATATCCCTCGTATCGCATCGTTTGGCATCCTACACATGGACCGTGACTGTACAATCATGCCTGTCTGCACACGCAAAGGCAGAACTATCACATAAGCTCTAGATTATATGGCTCCTTCTTCGAGGACGGCATTTGCATCCTTTGAAACAAAGATCTCCTCCAGCTTGCCGGCACCGATGCCGTCCGAGCCATCATCGTTCCGTAAAACTAAGCCCTGCTCATTGGCCAGGTGAAGCAGACAAATAAACCCGAAGGAGGTGCTTATGTCGCGTAGTGTATCTCGGGGGTACACTGTCTTCAATGAATTCATGATCTGAGTAAATCGAAGGCTCTCGTTTGCTTGTTGCTCGTCTTCAGGCCCATGGTCTGGGCTGGTATCCATCGGCTCCGGCTGCGTTTCAATTTCAGCATCATGATTTTCCACTTCTTCGGAGGATTTAGTAGGGTCTTCAACCGGAGGAGCAGGCTCGAAATGTGTAGTTGATATTAGCCGCTCGCCCATGCCCTTCCACATTTCCACTTTCAGTCGCCGAACGTCCACCTTCTTGGCAACTCGTGCATATGCCACGTAGTCAGGTCGTGCCCTACGCGCGCCCTGAGTTACCAGCTGCGAGCCAAACCCACCACTGTTCTGCGTGGCCCCAGGACCCGACCCCATCATATTGAGAAGGGCACTAAGACCTGTTGCACCACCGGCATCGGCTGCGTGTGTGCCTGGAGGTCCGTCGGCAGGAGGAGACAGCATTTCCCTGGCATCCGCAAAGGGGAGGTTGTCGTCGTCATCATCCAAGCCGAAGCCGTTGGGGAATGCTAGCCCATCATCATCTGCGAAGAAGTTGGCGTCATAAGCACCTTGAGCACCTTCTTCAGACGCTGCAGCATCTTCCACTTTGTGATTAGCCCAGAATGCCTCGTCCATCTCGCCGTTACCTGAAGTCTGATCTTGTCGTCGCTGAGTGAATTGCCGAGGACCTGCCAGTTTCTTTGAGCCCATCCTAGCCTTAGGTTTCAAAAACAGACTAAGTAGCTGGCGCGAATTGAAGTGCTTGTCATCCGGAAGTAGGTTGCGTCCTTTAGTCTTCCACTGTGTCTTAGGCAGAGATATGGTGGAGTTAGAACTGGCCGGAGTGTATATTATCTCAGCAATAGCAGGATCCAGAGGAGCACCAAAATCGATTTCGAAGGGCTCCTTCTCTTTGCGCTGCTTTGGTGCCAGGCTGGCATTGGTTGTGGCCGTTTGCTCCTTAATCCGCCGGATCTTCCAGTGCTCGGGGCCAGCCCAATTCTTTTGCAAGGCGTTATCGAAATAGCTGAGGATGTTCTCATGGTCTCGGTTCTCCGGCTGGTGGCTGAGGGAGATAGTATATGGATCTTCATTGTCGAGCTCTTCGCCGTCAGCATTCTCATCACCTTCCCTATCGACGCGGTGCACCTTGAGCATTGGTTCAAGAGCAGCCTCACGTGCCCACGCCTCACCACCGTCACCAAAACCAGCATCACCACCCAGGTCAAATCCGGCTAACGTAGCGTCGTCATCATCGAATCCCACAGCATTATCATCATCAAGCATGATGCCTGATGCATCGTTGGGGTGCTGACTTTCCTCCTTGTCGTTCCGCCAGTCTTCAGGGGCTTTCAGGAAGGGTATATCTAACGAGCCACTTGGATCTCCGAGGTCGAAGTTCTTGAGTGACGGGCAGATATCCTGGGTCTCGAGGCGGTCCAAATCCGGAAAGAATTTGCTCGCCAGCGGAGCTATGTCTATTTTTGCGTTATCGTCAAAAACATTATCCGCCGATTGGCTGGGACCGGATGGTGAGCCTGGCTGTTGGGGTTCTTCTGACTCTTCCGACTCTTGGTTAGCATCCTCTGCATCCTTGGAGGTCTCATCGGCGGCATCGTCACTGCTGTCAAATACGATGCGCCCTTGGCTATCGATTGACAGGTGGTTAAGGAGCAGGCCTTTAGCACCGCCTTCATCAAAATCCGCTGATGCTTTCTTGAACAGGGGATCGACTGAGAATTCCAGCTCAAACTTCTTCAGCTGGAGCGAAGCGAAGGAGGGAGCGAGGGTCGCTTCATGTGTCCGCTGTGCCTAAAAGTGCCAAGTTGCCAAGTTAGTTACCCTGAAAGATGTCTACATTTTTGGAATGTTCAAACCTTTCTCCGCGCCTTCCTGGCCGCACCCTCATCACCGTCCTCGTCATCCTCAGCATCCTCTCCGTCTGCGCCAGCTTCGCGGGCTCTCTTATCCCGGCTATCCGCCAAACCACTCAGAAGCTTACCCGTCTCCGTAGCCACACTGTCGACTCTGCTGGTGTAGATTTTAACGCACCCATCCAAGGTGCAACTGGCCTTTTGGAAGTTCACGCCATCTCCTTCCTTGAGGAGAGACATGTCGTGGAAGTAGTCGATCAAGGCGAAGTTCCAGGAGTTATTGGCATTGATCTTGTTGTCAGTCGCCATCTTCATCCATTCTTCAAAATTGGCCAAGATGGGCACGCGCTTCATCGGGGTGACTGCCCGACGACGTCCATCGACATCGCTGTCGCGGCCCCGATGTCCCGAGCCTCGGGGCGTCGAGGGACTCATGTTATTGAAGTCATGACCGGTGTAGCGTCGAGGCGGCATGGGGGTCTTCACGGCGGCCTTGATCTGATCCATCTGGCGGTCATGTCGCGCCTGTCTGGCCTCCATACGGGCCGCCTTCTCGCCCATGTCATCATTGAGCGGGATCCTAGTGCGGTCAGCGCTATGGGCTGCTGTATGGGATAGATAGGGTATGATGGTATAGGACATACTTCATAGGTGAGTGCTTATGAGGGGTCGATGCGCCGCCGGTGGAGCGGCGATGTTGGGGTTTGGCGACGCGGGGCATTGTGAAGTAATCCCCTGGCCGTAGGGGGGGAGGGGGAGGAGGGGTGAAAGAACGACGGTAACTGTAGCGACTTGGTCTTTGGTAAAAGGAGAATCAGGTCAATAGTCGATAGTAGGGGAAAGGCAAGGAACGATGTCGCAATATCGGGGCGAGAAATGTCAAGTCGAGCGTGCCCCGATCACCGCCTTTCCATGTGTCGCAAAAGACGAGGCCGAAGAAAGGAACTTGGACGAGAAAGAAACAATCAACATAAACATACGGCCGCGCGGCAGCAACCAGCCGCGCACTTTCTTTTGTGCTCCACAATACATACATTACAGGACATTACCCGCACTGCACATACGGTATCCGTATAGTATCCGGTACCATCCAAATGTATCCCGTAGGTATTGGAAATATACCAGATGGGGGTGGGGGGCCATTTATTAGTTACACAGTACATGTAATAACTATAGTCAGTCTCAAGTAGTTTAGATAAGTAATGATAGATGGATTCAAATATAGACATAAAATGATCTCGTGTATTCTTCTATGATGCCGAATCAGTCATTGTGATTTCACTCTAACTAGATAGTCCATAGAAGCAAGCCATTGACAATTCTGACTGATTATCTAGATAGATACCCACTCCATTGATCGACTGACTGGATGGATCATCATCGCATCTCAGCTCCTCTTCCCTCCCCACCGCCTTCCCGATCTAGCTTGATGTGCTTGCTTGGTCTCTCCGCTCTTCTGACATCAACCCCATCAACTTCTCCAATTCATGTCTATCATCAAGGCAAGGTTTCTTCTTCAAGTTTCTAGTAAACGGCCCAAATCTCGATCCCATTAAACCCCCTCCCACACCCCCCCCCCTTACTTACTCTCTTATCTTGGCTTCGATTGTTTTCATTTTCCCCTCCTGTCCTCCCTTCTCTGCTTTCCATCTCCAAACATCCTTCCTAGGCTTCCCCCGAGCCTAATCAACTAGTCCACCCGCCTTGTGACACTCTCCACCATCACTTGCTTATCGCCCAGGATGCCGCAATCCGATCGTCCACCATGTCTCCTCTATTAATGCCCGAGTTCCTCTCTCGAAGTCCCGCTTCTCAGAAGCGTGGATATTCGGCCAGACCTTTTTGGGCGTGTTTACTGGCTTTCTTCCTCCTTGCTATTCTCAGCTGGGTCTCTGGTCGCCTGGCCGAGCCTACCGAGCGGGTCTCGGTTCACCATGTCGCTCAGCTTCGAATGCGGGACAACGCGCTGGAGGTAAGATGAGGATAACCTTACCTAGCGAATTGGGGACTTGCTAAGCTTGCTGTTCTGATTGACAGTGTCGTCTCGTCCGTCAAGCCAAAGATCAATGTGCCTTCGTCCTATCAAACTGCGCCGATCACGAGGAGGGTCTCTTCTCCTACCTCCAGTTCTACTACTGCACTGCGGCAAAGGCCAAGCCGCTCGCTTTCATCGTCATCGTCCTGTGGCTATCGCTTCTCTTCAGCACCATCGGCATTGCTGCCAGCGACTTCCTCTGTATAGATCTAAGCACCTTGGCCAGTGTCCTCGGCTTGAGTGAGAGCCTCACGGGTGTCACCTTTCTTGCATTCGGAAATGGCAGCCCGGACGTGTTTTCCACCTTCGCCGCCATGCGGTCGAATAGTGGGAGCCTGGCCATTGGAGAGCTGCTCGGTGCGGCAAGCTTCATCACATCCATCGTTGCTGGCTCAATGGCGCTGGTCCGCCCCTTCAAGGTCGCCCGGAGGAGTTTCGTTCGTGACGTAGGATATTTTATCCTTGCGATGGCCTTTAGTATGTTTCTCTTGGGCGATGGCCGCCTCCATGTCTGGGAATCTGCCATGATGGTGGCGCTCTATTGTTTCTATGTTGCATTGGTGGTGACGTGGCACTGGTATTTGACTCGACAACGGCGCTCCTACGAGAGGAATCTAGCTGCTCGATCACACTTCCACATTCCGGACAATCAGGAACTTGACATCGAAGAAGAGGAGGAAGATGACCCTGGTGTCGCGTCGGAGGCTACAAGTCTCCTTCACGGCGAGGATTTCGACGCCCTGGAGAGATCTGGTGTGCCAGCCTGGCGAGAAGGGGAGGAGGACGACGAAACCCGGAATCGATACCTTGCTGAGATCCGCGACAACATGCACATTTATCGGCCTACTACAAGGAGGCGCAATACGTTGAACCCCATCAGACCAAGTCTAGTGGGTGCTTTGGAGTTTCAGTCCGTCCTCTCTTCACTTCAACGGTCGCGGAATATCCATCGCAACGAGTCGTTTGATCTCGAGCGATGCTCAGATGGTGAGCGTTCGCGCTCGCATTCGCGCCTGTCAGACAATGCCTCTGTAGTGTCTCATCCGCGGGCCAGCCGTCCCTCGTTGGGTGACCGCTTGTCGCCCAATGGAGGCACTGGTTCAGCCCGCACTCGTGCGGTGTCAGCCAACGCCGCCGCCGATCTGAAACTAGACACAAGCATGTTCACTGTCAATAATCAGCAGCCGCTCCTCACTGTTCATCGGCCCTCTGTGGATACCCAATCGCCCTCAGAAACAACGGGCGCCTTAGCATCCGATCAGAGCCCAGGATCAACCGGCTCCCCTCAGCTGGCCGTCTCGCAAGCCCCCAGTACTGAGTCGAACACGCATCTTCAGAGCCCCAACCTCCTTGCGCCCCCTGGTGCTTTCCATGCCCCAACTTATCAAGTGTCGAGTTCTCGTCCTCGTTCGCCGCTTCCATTGTCCCCGCGCGGAACGACCCTCTCCCCGGGCCCGGCCAATGCTTTCCCGGAGAGTCCTACAAGCCCATTCCCACCCTTTCAAGAAGTACCCAGTTTCCCATCCTCCGGGGCACCGAGCTTACGCCTGCCAGCCGCATCAAGCCCGACGGAGCGGTTGCAGATTCACGATAGCGCCTTGGATGGTGGGAGTAACCGGACGACAACCCCGACATGGTGGTCCCATCTGTCGCTCACTTCCCAGCCCATCCTCCCCACCCTTTTCCCGACTCTGGCTGACTGGAAATCCAAATCTTTCTGGGAACGACTCTTGGGAATTGTTGCGGCCCCCAGTGTATTGCTCCTGACAATCACCCTCCCGGTGGTTGAACCTGTACAACCTGAAGCGGGTGCAAGCGCTGTTCCCGTCATAGTAACTCCGGCGGACGGTGACGGTGCACCATCACCTGCTGTGCGACTGCCGGAAGATAGTCCACTTCTTCGTGCGCTCGATCAAGAGCCCATTTCACGACGGAACACGGTTGATCAAAACGGCAAGCCAGAACCAATTCCGAGACATTCTCGTTTTGATTCCGAATTGCCGGCCATCCAGCCAAACATAGATTCCCCACCACCACCATCGAAAGAGTGGTGCCTTTGGCTAGTTTGGGTACAACTCTTCGTGGGCCCCTTCTTCGTGGCCTTGATGTACTGGACGACAGTTGACTCGGATCTGGATGTCGAACATCTTCTCCTGCCGTCCATGGTCTCTCTTCTCTTTTCTTTGATATGCACCACCTGCCTGATGATCAGCACACGACACGACCTCGCTTCCCAGCCTCCAACTGCCTGGCGGCCCGTTCTAGCATTTTTAGGCTTCATTGTCGCAATCTGCTGGATCGCAACCATCGCCACCGAGGTTGTCAGCCTGCTCAAGACCCTAGGCGTAATCTTAAACATCAGTGACTCGCTTCTCGGCCTGACCGTGTTTGCAGTGGGTAATTCCTTGGGTGACCTGGTAGCAGACATCACGGTAGCCCGCCTAGGATATCCCGTAATGGCGCTGAGCGCCTGTTTCGGAGGCCCCATGCTCAATATTCTTCTAGGTATTGGCCTAGGCGGACTATACATGACCGTGAATGCCAAACCAGAAGCCATCGCCGTGTCGGGTGGTTCTTACGAGATTGAAGTCTCCAAGGTCCTCGTCATCAGCGGTGCTACTCTACTCATCACCTTGATTGGTCTGCTGATCGTCGTCCCCTTGAATAATTGGAGGATGGACCAGAAGATTGGCTGGGGCCTGGTCATTCTCTGGGTCATTAGTACACTTGGCAATGTTCTCGCCGAGGTTCTATTCTGAGGTTTAGACCCAAGCGTAAGGCAGAAAGAGCCCTTGTTTGGCTATCCTCTCGTAAGCATAGTTTAGGGTCTCTCCTGACTGGCTCTTTCTTCAGTATTGCGAGCGCTTCTTTTCTCTGTTGATTTGATGTTCACCAGTCCATAATTATGGATACACTAGTGTGTTCTCAGTCACACATACTGTACATATGTCTTATATATATTGACATGTTCTAGTTTTACGAATACATTGATCATCTGACACAAGACGCAACCTTGGCTATTACCGTCTTCTTAGTATCTGAAGTGAATCAATACAGGCTGAAATAAACACAGAAGACATCCCCATGTTTAGAACTTGTAAATAAACAGAAGACCGACGAGAGAAGAATAGAGAAAATAAGTGAGTATGGTGTCTTCTCTGCTCTCCCTACAACAATCCATGAGGAAGGTAACTTCTTAAAAAACGCACAGAAACTCTATCCGAACAGTGTACAGGTGGCACTTCAAGGGCTCAGTCCAGAACACGTCCTGCGGAAGAGCTAGTACTGCGATCGTTGGTCTGGACCTTTCGAAGCCCCGTTCCTGCCTGGATCGATGCTAGCAAGGCACCTCTACCAGCGCCGCCCGTGGGAGCAGCCGGGGGCGCGGGTGGTGGGGGAACGCCTGGAGGCGGCACCGGGGGGGCCATGGAGGGAGCCGGAGGCGGCGGAGGTGGCGCCGCAGCACTGGGACTGGGCACTGCCGGGGCGGGGGCTGGCGGAGGTGGCGGGGGAGGAGGCACAGCAGCGGGGGATTCAGCTGCCTCAGTCGGCGGTGTGGGAGTTGCTGGACTGTCCTGGACGGGGGTAGACGACTTTGAAGGAGTCTTGTCATCCATGGCACTCAGAGGCCGGGGAGGAGCCATTGTGCCGAAGAGTATACTTGCGAGTTGCTTCGCGCTACCACCACCCGGCCGTTCATCATCATCATCAGACGAGTCGTCAAAGTCCGATCCAGCCGCCGACCAGTCATCATCCACCTCGGGACGCACTCGAGACTTGCGTTCCAGTGGACCGGGCGCAGTGAAGGCAGGCTTGGAGCTCTCCTGCTGTTGTGCCAGCCGATGAAAGGGGTTGGTCGACTGAGACTCGGCTTTCGGAGCGGCAGGCTGAGGTGCAGGTGGTGGAGGCGGCACCTGGCTGTCGGACTGGCTGATTCTCTTGAAATAGGGATTCTTGGACTCTGCTTCCGGACTAATGCTGGTGGGCGCAGCGTGGCTACTAGCAGACTCAGCGGGACTGGTCACGACATCTAGCTCTGGAGCTGGAGCTGGAGCTGGGGGGGGCACCGCGGTGTCTACCGCAGGAAGCACTTGACTCTGAGTCGGAGTACTGTCCTGCGGTGTGATGTTGATAGGGCCTTCTTCATCCGAGGAGCTCTCATCCAAGCCTTCCAGCTCCAATTGAAGCTGACGCTCGCGCTCTTTGGCCATCTCAAGTTCAGCACGCTGGGTGGCGAGTCTCGCTTCCTGTTCTTTCGCCGCGCGGGCTGCCTCTTCCTTACGACGCTTCTCTTCCTGCTTTTTGATCTTCCCTTGTCGGACCTGTTCTTGCAGTGCGGCAAGACGGGCCTCCTGGGCCTCCTTCTCCTTCAGAAATTCTGCTTCGCGTTCTCTGGCAGCAGCCCTGGTAAGATGTTAGGTTCAGTAACGGCATCAACAACGGATAGTAGAGCTGGCAAGGGTTACATACTCTAGGCGGGCTGTCTCTTCTTCCTGCGCCTGCTGTTCCTCTCTAATAGCTTGTTCCCGTGTAGATTGCTCTACTTTAGCTGCTTCCTCCCTTGCCTTCTTTGCCTCGGCTTGGCCTGCACTATCAGTCCGACCCTTCCGAGAAGGCGGTGCTGGAGGAGGCTTCTTGCTAGCTGGCTTAGCAGATTGCGCCGTTGGGCCGCCCTGCTCTTCAGCCAGACGGCGTTGTCGCTCTTGCTCTCGCTTAGCATCTTCTTCTTCTGCTCGTCTCAACCGCTCTTCACGTTCCTTTTTCTCGCGTTCTTGCCGTTGAAGCAGAGTCTCTCCTGCGTCACTGTGAGGCTTGAGCCCTGCAGCAGCCATCCGTTCAGCGATCCGCTTCTGCGCACGTTCCCTAGCAGCCGCAACGCGGTCCTCATGCGTGGAGCCAGCTGACACGACTGAGCCGGTAGGCGTCGGGGAATGTTGCGAACCAGCTGCACCTCCCAATGGCGACTCATTGTAGCGAGACCGCTGGCTTTGCGTATCTGCCGCTCTTTGTTGTCTGGTGGTCAATGATTAGTGTATGCTCTATATGAAAATCTCGCATCTTCCAAAGAGAGAGTGAAGATACTTACTCTTCCTTGCGAACATGCGCGGTGCGGCTGCTACGCTTCAAATCGTAGATAAAATCGCGAACCACATCTTCAACGCCCAAGGCGTCCTCCCAGCGTCGCCGTTCATGCTCACGCGTCGAACTTTCACCACCATCCTTAAGACTGTCTTCCAGACTCCGCGCAAACTCTCGAACACTCTCCTCGACGTCGCGAGTCATGGTCTCGTTTCTTTCCCTTTCAGCCTTGACAGTAGCATTCTCAGCTTCGAGTCGGCGAGTTGCAGCTCCATCGTCGTCTTGGCTGGCGGGAACGGGCCTTCCGGCAAGTTCAGCGGCGCGAGCTTGCATTCTGGCACGGGCACGAGCTTTGATACGATCGGCTTCAGTGACTGTGCCCCCTGGGCCTGTACCCACGATAGAAGAGGCACTGTTTGGATGCTCCTTTGCATCCTTCAGGCGGAATAATTCCAGTCTAACCTCCGCGATCTCCCGCTCAACACGCCTCACCTCCGATGCCACTTGAGGGACTTGATCTTCATAAGCCTGCAGCTGACGACGTAGTGACCTCCGTTCGGCCCCGGTATCAAGGTTACGGAAGGAAGCATCGGGGTGGGTGTCAATATCATCCTGTACCCGCCGTATCCGATCCATAAGACTCTCCGCTTCTCTTCGGTCTCGCCGGTCTAGAGCATCGTCTTCCTCCGCTTGATTCTCGTCTTGAAAATCCACCGCATCCAACATAATCTGGGCTTCACGTATCTTCTTCTTCAGCTGGTCCACGGAGAGCTCTTCTTCCGAAGCCTGGGAAGCAGCAGGGGATGGCGTACGGCCATTGTTGCCAACGCGACGGCGTGCGCTGGAGCGATATCCAGCAGCCGCCTCATCGTTGTTCTTGAACAATGTAGCATCTTTCCGACCTCCTCCTGGAGACACTGCGCCGCCACGGAAAGAGTGCTCTTTCAGATAACTGACACCAGTCTTCTGTGGTTGCAAAAATGCGCCAGACGCCTTTCGACTCTCTGCATCTTGGGACAGCATGGACTTGATCGTGCCTATCGAATCGTTCAAATTTCTCGTGGATGGGGGAACAAGCTCCGGGGGCAGGCGGTTCGGAACTGGGTACCCGTTTAGTTTCCTGTAGATCAAATGCATTGCCACGGCAAATTCGTCCATGTTCAGCCGACCCCTGTTATTAGGGTCGGCTAGCGTCCAAATGCGTTCCAGATCAGACCGGTCGAGACCACTTTGTCCCATAATTTCGATCGCAGTATCACCTCCGATAAAGCCTTTACGAAAACCATCCCAGGCTCGAAACAAATCGTCATAAATCTTTTTTTCTTCTTTGGTAATAGCCCAGGGGATATGAGCATTTCCAGAGAGGCCGACCGCAGAGAATCCACCTTCGCGGCCTGGCTGCGGCATCAATTGTTGCTTGAGAGCTTCGATGTTAGGCAAGCCAGTTGCCGGAGCATTCACGAAACCCCATTGCCCTGGGATGCCTGTAGGCTGCGCGGCCAGAGCCGATACTCCCCCGGTCTGTGCAGGACTCAAATTTGACCCAAAGCCGGTAGGCATTGGTGGCATTGGAGGGCGAGGACCGTTGTACCCAGTCGGCTGAGGATTGGTCATGAATCCAGTGGGTTGCGGTTGTAATTGCTGAGGCTGTCCAGGGAACCCGGTGGCTTGCGGCGCAAGGGCAGAGTTTTGGCCCGGAAAGGGGGATTGACTTTGCTGAAACCCCGTCGGCTGGGGAAAACCCGTAGGCTGCGCTGTGAGCTGCGTGAGAAGCTGCGCATTGCTCGGCTGCTGTGGCTGTGGCTGCTGGGGGGCGGGGGGAGCAGATTTATTCTCCAAGAGAGGTGCATCGAAATTTGGCACGTTCGTTCTAACAGCAGGTTCCGGTTGAGTATCAGGAACTTGGAAGGAGATGATGTCCACCATGCTGGAAACTTCGTTCCTGATCTTCTCGGGGAGTGCGCTTGGCAATTCTCTACCTGTGATTCTCAAGTTGCACAGGTACATAGCCAGGGCAAATTCGGGGAAGAAGAGCTGCCCAGACTTAGTAGAATCCGAGAGAACCCTGTAATGGTTAACACCTTTATTCCACTTATGGGATGTAATCGGATACATACCAGATCTTGGACAAATCATTACCAGGTAGTTTTGACCGCAGAAGAAGCTCCTTTGCTTTATCACCGCTCATTGTCTGATTATCTCCAACCGCAGACTTAAAGAGCTGCTCGAACTTTGCCTGGTCCTGCGCAGTGATGAAGGAGAGCCGAATGTTTGGTATTTTACTGGCAGACGCCTTAGGTGGCGGAGGCGGAGCCATGCCAGCAACATCTTGGAATGAATCCGCTATTTCCGACGAAGTCCGAGGCGCCTGACGAACAGGGAGGCCAGTACTTGCGGGAACCTGGAACTGTGGAGGCTGCGATTGAGCGGGATATCCGGTGATCTGGGCCTGTTGGACTGGGGGCTGAAAGCCAGTTTGTTGCGATTGTGGTACTGCACCCGGGAACCCTGTGAACTGAGGTTGGAGCTGACCAGCCGGGAACCCCGTGGCTTGAGGCTGCAACTGGGAGGCCCCGAAACTGGACATTTGAGGGCCATAGCCAGTCGGCTGAGGCGCGAATCCACCCTGTTGTGGCGGTTGTTGCTGCTGACCAGAGGCAAATTGCTGCGAATATGGCGACTGTTGCATCAAAGGCTGTCCCGGGCGTGCGCTGTTGGCGCCGCCCAGGAAGGTGTTGGATGAAGAGTACATTACCGGAGTAAGGCTGGCATCAAAGAGAGGAAGAACATCAAAGACGGGCTAACAAGAGAGCGAGCAACAATGCTGAGGAAGCAGAAAACCAAGCTGATGGCGCACAATGAGACAGAAGAGTAGCATAGGAAGTGGCCAGGCAACGACGGAGAGGGGGGATCAGGAGCATCCATCCGATCAGGAGCAGTGACGCTGCCCCCGTTACGTAATCAGGGACGCCCGCCGATGGGGGAAGCCGCGGAGAGGTGCACTAAACCCGATCCGGTAGCTATCACGATGAGTCCAGAAGCTATCTACACTATCTACGCTTACCCCTATGAGCACACCAGACGGTTCTCATCTACTTAGGTTGCTACCGGGCCCAAGCCTACAACAAATTATAGCGAGGCAGATATATGGACGTGTTGACTGATTGACAGCTACGGCAGCAAATGACTTTCTGTTCCAAGGCAGGTTGGAGCGAAGGGCTTGGTCCCGCTAATCACTGGAAGCAAAGAGAACAAACATAGAATAAAGGGTATGACCATGAAACAAAGACACGCATGACCAGCTGCGTATATCTGAAGCGAAAGCATGTGAGTGACCGCTGACCCAGCTCTTCATGCCCTATCTCCACCTGTTGATGGCTAAACACCATCCTGGACGCCATTCTGCTGCTGGGCGGTAGCCCCCACCATCTTACGGAGCTCATATTCCTTAGTAAACTCCCGAGAGAGGATACCCAGGTCCCGAACAAGCTCATGGCAGGCTGCAATTACCGCATCCTTTGGGGTGATATCGCCATCGGTCTGAACTCGAAGCTGGAAATTGGGAACAAGCGGATGGGGAACCTATGACAGTCACGTCAGACCCTTACGCAAACTAACCCCACAGCTCTGATAAAAGCAGCAACTGGGAGCATGAAGAATGCCCGGAAATAGAAACGAGGATAAATCACGATCGCCGACATACCTTGTACGCAGCGAAGAGAACATGAGAGCTTTGCAAGAGGCGAGAGCGGATCAAATTTCCCAACGTGTGATCTTCCTTATTGAAGGTGAAGATGGCAGAAGATGGGATTCCTAGCACAAGAAGCCCATGTCAGAAATGAACGCAGACCGTTTAGGTGCGAGGTTTGGATGACATACGAGTATCGATCTCCATCTCGACTTTATTCTCGCCATTCGCAAGAACGAACGATTCGTATCTAGGTTTCATACCGAGTCAGTGGACCGAATGTATTAGAAGCTTCACAAATGAAGGCAAGTAGAATCTTCAAAGAAAACCCGAAGCGGACCTCGGCTGCTGGTCATGAGAAACGTTGACGGTAGACTGGCAGCGAACGCGAGATCCGCCACTGCCATTCTTCAGGCGCGCATACACCATTTCTGCAGGCATGATGGATTCCATTCTTAAAATCGTTGTGTTCGAGAAAGATTCACAATATGACAGGAATGCTAGGGGGTGAAGACAACGCAAAGTACGAAGTCAATCCATTCAATGAGAGATCTGGACAAGGGGCATAAACATTGAAATGAACTGAGGGAGAGGAAGAGGGACAGGAGTAGAGTCCATAACATAGTTCGGCACTCTGGGGCAGTGAATGGAGGGGGGAAGGCAAGAGCATGTGCCCGGTTAATGGCACCGTCCGCATTGAGACTTCAGTCACACCATTCCCACCAGCGAACAGCTCCCGAACCTAGAACAAGCCAAAAGGTGGGGGAGGAGAGGAAGGGGCGCGGAAACCAAGTGGGAATAAAGCATGCTACAAGATAGACTGCGTAGATGTAAGAAGAACGTTCCACCTACCGGTCTGGTGCGTTCATTTTGTAGTCTTGGCTATATCCAAAGGTGCGTATACCAAAATAGTGAAATAGCTGGGAGCGATATTGAATATCTCGGACTTTTATGAGGGCTGTAAGTGTACAGGCGCCCAAAAAGCGAGCAGGACACTGTATAGATGAAGTAGGGAGTGAATCACAGTATCCAAATAGATATGAATATCACTTGGTGCGCAACTTCTAGCCTTTCGCTTTGCTTTGCCACTGTTTCCTTTGCTCAGTGGACCTTTGGATGGATTAGTTGCCTGACCGACAAGCGTTTAGGTATGGAATTTATTGAATCACCTGATAGAGTAATATTATATATATATACCACTGGAAACTCCCGCCGTACTGTTGGCAAAATGATGCTGCAATGCTGGGATTGCAGAATGGCTGGTGATGACAAGCTCCGATAAGGTTAGTAATCCCGTGACATTAGTCACGTGGTAGGCCCTGTTTTAATGGGCCAAGTGGACCGTTTCTGGTTACTAAGCTACTTTCACGCTGCACCCCTTTTAGCTCCAGCTGCTGCGCTGGATCGTAGGATAAACTACGCATTATTTGATAGTTGAACCAAGGCTTCCCCGCAGCAAGTGCAGAATCTCATAGATTCACCTTAGTGATCTGCATAAGATACTCTCAGGTTATTGTATAGATATCAGCTACATGTATTAACTCCCAGAACGTCACCGTAAGTTGTAAGGTTAACTGGCTACACATTGAGTATACAAGACAGAAAATGCATGCACAACTTTGCTAAAGCCATCCAATTACAACCCTCATGGGGTTGGAAATCGTCAATCCGTGAAACGCCTGTCATGGTCCCGCACCCTGCTTTGATAGTGATTAAGAAATTGGGAGATCAGGGAGAGGAAACCCCTCGTATAAACGTAAAAAAAGATCAGGTCATGTCCAAGAAAGTAAAACAACATAGAAAGGAACGGGAAGGAAAATAGAAGACACGCAAGAGGTGAACCCGCCAACAATAATAGGAAATAGCTGGAACAACAATATTCACTGCTCACAAATGCACAAAGTGAGGTATAACTCCTTCAGGTCCCTATAAAGAGCAGAGGACTTTGATGGCAAAAGCACAGCCAAGCAAAAATAAGCGAAAGCATAACATGCACAGGACATGATACCCCTGCTGCGAGGGGGAATTATGTCAATTGACCGCCTGTCTAATGCACAGCATTCAACAGATCTCCAAAGCTCGACGTTTCTTTCTTCATCTTCCAGTTGTTGCGTTTATTTTCTCGTTTCTTCATCATTTCGGCCCAGCCTTCATCATCGTCCTCGTCATCTTGGTCCGCACCAACATTCAGCTTGCTAGCCCTTATTGGTTTGCTATTACTTGGCATGGGACGGTGGCTCATTTGAGACGCCTGTGGCGCCGCCGGAACTGCAGCTGAAAGCGAGGACTTCCGGTTTTCATCACTCCATGACTTCGGTATGGACGGGGAGCCGACATTTCCTAAGTCGGGTTGTATCGTAGAGACGGGTCTGTAACGAGGCGCCAGACCAACATTACTGCGTTCCGATGGTGCAATAGACGGCGCATACCCTTGCCCAGCCGGAGTGCTTGGCCTGAGGCCCCCAGATACATGGGGCATAGCTGCACTATTGAGACGGGAGGAGACATTCGGATCAAGCATGCTTAGCGTCCGCTGATCGCCCGAGTACCCAGCATGGGGGTTATTCATATTGCCAGCTGAGGGCATTGAGGATGGGCGCGCATTCAGGTTGGCACCTAGCGTGGGTGGAGGCCCGCCAGGTGGCATTAGTTGGGTGCTCTGTCCGCCCTGCATGTGAATCATCTGCTGCATCCATTGCATCTGCATCTGCACCATTTGCGTCATCTGCTGAGATAACTCTATCTGCGCCTGTTCAGTCGCGGAGATCGTTGGCTGAACGCCACCGGCATTGGGCGAGCTTAAACTCATCATTGTGTAAGGTCTTGGAATGCCTCTAGGGTGAACAGGCGGCACAGGCATCCCCCCTTGATAGTCGTACATGGCTTGGGTATTAGGGCTACCTCGCCGCATTGCCCTTGCCCGCTCCTCCGTGGCAATGACTCCTACTAGACCTCCGGGCGGTAGCGCAGGCGAAGGTCCGCCATGGACCGATGCTCCTCCTCCCAAGGCCAGAGACTCTCTGTTGGATTGGTTGACCAGACTGGCTCCGAAATAAGGGTCTCGCGGCAAGTTTCGCGCAAAAACAGGCAGGCTTCCACGATTGTTGGGATCCCTTTCTGCAACGGAAGCAGGAGACGGGGAAGACAAGTACGGTTGCTGGAAAGACGCCCGGAGGTTAGGAATGGAGCTAGATGGTGCCAGGCGGCTTGGGGGGCGGTTTCTGTTGGGGAATCCGTGAGCTGCCAGAATTCCCAAAGGAATCTCTTCGTCATCGTCACCATCACTGCTTTTCCCACTCCCCAAGGTAGTTCCAGGTTGTAATAAATTCGGCGCACTCTTACTAGCCTGATCCAATTCGGTTCTCATAGCTGGCGCGGGCGATTCCTGGCCGGTCACCTTCATCATTTGCTGTCGATAAACTGAAAGATGAGCCTCTTGCTTGCGCCGCTGTCTCTCGGCCTCACGGTCTTTCTCCACCTCATCATCGTCATCGTAATCGCTCTCAGCAGAATTCTCACTCTTCGAGGCATCGCTGTTCGACCGTCTGAGCTCTTGCTGCTGACGATAATGTTCGAATTGGGATGGAGTCATGACTTTATTCGTAGAGGAGACCGTTACCGGTTGTGCTTTTTCGTATTGTGCAGCCAAACGGGCATGGGCTGCAATCGACGGATCAAGGTGATCTGATAGCACAGGAGAGCTCAGTGAGTCTTTCTGAATAGATTCCCGGCGATCAGGATGAGAAGAATTTGCCCCAGGTTGGTCAAACAAAGGGCCATCATTTTCCGCATCCGAAGCCCCGTGATCAGCCATAAATGGTACTTGTGAGCTCCTTTTAGAGTACAGAGATTCCATGATTAATTTCGCGTCCTCATCTTCAACAGGTACAGAGTCCCGTCTGTTAGAGTAAACCCCACTTCTCCGTAGACCTTTGTCCGCTGTCGTTCGAGGCTTTGCCAAGGAACGATGGGAGGTAGTAGCCAAAGGCGTAGTACCGGGCAGAGGAATAGATTTGCGCCGGTCTCCAACGGAGACTGGATCGATATTGCGTTGGTATGGTTGTGTTGCCGGTTGTTCATTGGGTGAATCGAGTGTGGTCAGAAGGCCCTCCTCCGAATGTCGGCTATCCCAAGAGTATGGTGATGGCTCAACCTCCCTTGAACGGTCAGTATCAATGGGGGTAGGGCGTGAGACCCTCTCGTCCTTTCGAGGCAAGGCATCTGGTCGGCTAGAAGGTCCGGATGAGTCCTACAGTAGAATTTAGCTTGGCGCTGCAAAAAGGAAGGCTTGGCGATGCAACAAGGAAGGCATGGTATTGAGGTACTGAACACAGAAAGTTAAAATCCAGCTTACCAGGTCTACTGGCTGATCAAGAGAAGCGTCCTTCGACCCATAATAGCGCTTCCCAATATCACCGAACATATTTTGAAAGTCGTCGTCAATTTTTCCAATTCGAAGTTCTGTATCGGGAAGCTTTGGTGGTGTTGCAGTGCTTGACGTGCTTGTTGTCATACCCCTGCTTCTAGAAGGACCCGGTGTAGACGGCTGAGGCGGAGGTGTCGGGGCAGATGCCTTGGAGAATCTTCCGCCGAATGAAAACGTGCGACCAGCTGCGCGAATCGCACCTGACAGAGGAGGGATTGGTATATCGTAGAGGTTCCGAGTGTGTGGCGACTGTGATTCGGGCTGTGGCCCGTCTGTTGAATGGCGTGTTGATGTGCGAGGTCGCGCAGATGATGTACCTTCGAATGTACTTCCACCACCACTCAAGGTCAGCTCAGCCACTCCTTACCGGGATGGGCAAAAGGGGTAAGATATTCATCGGGCGAAAGAGGGGGCTCATACTGATGTCTTGCTGGTTGAGAATTATGCAAAGCAAAGATATTATTGTCATCCTCTGAGGGGGAATCCAAAGGTTGACCTTCGCTTAAGCGCTTTGCCACTAAATTCCCATCGCTGAAAGACTTTTTGTCGCCGGTCGGTCGCTCAAAGACTCGAAATGATGACTGAGTAGGATTTTGCACTTCCTCTAGAGCATTGCTAGACGATTTTCGACGGGCGAAGCCCTTGGGAAGCTTGATTGGCATTGGGCTGAAACCAAGGCGACCACTAGTGACGCCGGAACCACTTTTTAGAGAAATTGAGGGCGCTGCCACCGGCTCCAAAGTCGACGAGAGTCCCAACCCCTTCTCGGCTGCGTTACTCGATTCCCATAAACCGGGATTCCGCGACGGGTGGAGGGAGGGGAGGGGTTATGGGCTTGGAAGATTCTGGGCCTGTCCAATCCGCACGGATTTCGATCGTAGCGGGGCTTCTGGTCAAGAGATTGCCGGGAAATGAAGTGAATGACGTGAATGGGCGAAAATAGCGTCCAGAGAATATTGTGGTGGATAAGGATGCTTTGAGCTCACTCAGGGGGGTCACAGGAGAAGATCGAGAGAATAGGCGAGGTGGCCTGAGAGAAGGTTTCTGATACACCGTATAATCGATCAAGAGCAGCTAGGACCCTCTGATTCACATGCGGCCAGCGGGGCTTAGAGGCTAGCAATTATGATAAATTAAGAAGGGCCATAGGTACGCATCGGTGTGGATTCCGGTCGTTGTTGGCGAGGATGGGGACCTCTCCTCCGATCGGTTTTAGAAGGGTAAATAAAACAAACCCACCCGGGAGACCAGAAGGGGGGCGTGGATGGTGGATAAGTTTGCAATGACAAAGGCGAATTTCCTCTTGTAAGAAACGCCGAACAGAAGCTGCAACAAGAGCAGAGAACAAAAGGAATGAGAGAGAAAGAAAAAAGAAGAAGAAGAAAAAAAAATTAATAATAATGATGATGACGATGATGATAATAATAATAATAATAATAATAATAATAATAATAATAATAATAATAATAATAATAATAATAATAATAATAATAATAATGAGACACAAACGACAACAAGAATAAAAGGGAATCAGGGGAAAAATCCAATAGAGTGGTGGGCAGAATCAGAACACCCAGGGACAACTCGGAAGGGAAAAGGGGGGGCGGGGGAAGGAAAGGAAAAGGGCGCAGATCAGTCGGTAATCTAGTAAGTTTTGATAAAAACGAATGGGAAAGAAAAACTACGCCGGACTAGTTCAGGTTATCTACTTGTTGTTAAGTACATACTAAAAGTAAGCCTGATGCAAATTTGGCGTAAATAGTGATCATACTACTCCGTACTACTAGTGAATAGTACTTCGTAATTGTAACAGTAGTGGTAATAACCATGATTCATAATAATAATAGCAGCGGCGGCAGCCGCTGTAATGCTAACTAACCAGAATGAATAAAGAGGCCCAATTGTTTCATGAAAATGATGGGAGGGAGAAAAGAAAATTTTTTGGAAAAATCCTATCTACCTAAGGAGTAGAAAAGGTTGGTTAGCTTGAAGAGGAATAGAAACAAGCGGCATCCACCCAAGGACCAACCGCTCTTCCAGTCCCAAGACAAACATCTTCCTCCTTCTGTCTTCCACTCTCACTTTCTCTCAGCAGACCCTGGGGAGTGGATGTGGTGGGTGGAGCCCGGCGCGTTAGTCCGGCGGCGAGCAACCCCAAATATAGTATCTCTGACTCTGACTCTGAGTCTTCCGAACTCTGAGCGGTTAGTGAGTGAGCAATGCCAGCCAAAACTCAGTCGGCACCGCCGGTTTGGTTGGTCAGACTATCCCAGATTGAAACCTCTACCTGGTTCAAGACTAATAATAAACTCCTAGTTACTTATGTATGACTATCTACTACGTACTATTAATGCCGCCTAGGTAGCTGACAACCCTGTCTGGCTGGTATCAATCTAGACCCTACAGTTACTAGACAGGTAACGTGTGTTCCTTTGCATTTTAGCCAAACCATCCTGGTGTAGGAGAGGTGCTTGAAAGAAACGGGAAATGTACATTTAACTCTATTTCCTCATGTCTTTTCGCTTCTCCAAAACGCCGAAAGAGGCAGACAGAGAAATCAATGAAAGGTGGGGAGGGAGTTGGTATCAGGCCTAGAACTGGCCGAGGTAGATAAATTGATACGGACACGGTCCGTTCCAAGGCATTCCACCATTCCACCGCCGTCAAATGTCATGTAAGGGGGGCCAACGACTAACCACCGCCATCCGACGTACCACCTGATGGCTAAGGCATTCCTTTCTCGAAGTAGATAACTCTTCTCTTACCGCTCAGCTATTCCCATCCATTCCATCACCTTTCAAATCTTCTTTTTCGGCGGCCCACAGCTAACCTACCTTCTACAATACTCAAGTAAGTACTAGTCGTGCTAATACCGATTTCTACCTGTCAGATTGAACATCTCTCATTGACCAATTTCGACGTTCGGAGGTTGGTTACTCTGCCAGGTAGCCGCCCACAGTCAGCATTACTATAAAGATGCTACTCGATCAAGCTGGGTCATTGAGTGCAATGGTGCTGGTAACTACTTGTGCAGTATTCGCCGTGTCATTGAAGTATCCACTACGTTGATATAATAATAGTCAGTTGACTACTCGTGTGTAATAAATGACTTCAGCCATGACAGTACAAAGTAGAGTGGTCATATCCCTCAGTGACCACTCGATACACCCGTAACTCAGAAGTATATACTGTAGTAATATGTATTGTACTATTCAATAACACATTCCCTTATATCTGCGCTATTATCCCTCCGGAATCTCGTACTTGAAAATCTTGGCCTTGCTAGACTAATCCAGGTGCTTGATCTTTCATAATCTCCGGCCGCATTGTGGGTTGGCATGTCTGCGAGGCTGTAGTTGCCAGTACCCTTTGGTCACATGTAGCTCCCTCCATCTGATTCCATCTTAAGTTGTAGTTGTCTACGGCTCCTTGTAACCGCCCGGGCTTCGGTATTATAAAGACGCAACCAAGCACTTGCCGATTACAATGAATTCCATTCCCCAACCAAGGAAGCTTTTGTGAAACATGGGCCGGAATTGGTTCATTGATACAGCTCGCTATGCCCGTTCCATTGACATGCTCAGTCTACGGAGACCGAAAAACAGCAGGTGTATTTGACTCTATTAAGTCAGAATTCAGCAAACAAAAACTGGAAAGGTAGATGAATTCGACATTCGCGTCGTTATCAAAACGAGTGAGCTGTTCATCCTTCAAGGCATGCAGGGGCGAGGGGTATAGATCATGCAGAGCTTCCAAGCTTATCTAGTAGTGATGGCCCTGAAGAACAATGGGGTCTTGAGCTTTTAATCCGCCAATCAAAGCAACTCCGGCCGGAACCTGAGCATCTCGCAAGTTGAAACAGGCAAAAGCGACCAATTTCTGGAGTTTAGGACAGCACTGAAAGATTCGACCAACAATATAGTCATCGACGACTGTATGGAAGGACACATCTATCTCCTCGAGATTGGGGTATGTTTTCCCGGCCGCAAAGACTTCTTCAAAAGCAGAGCGGGACACGTGGCGACAAGATGCGATGTTTAATTTCTGTAGCCCGGGCCCTGAATGGTTCATGAGAGCCATAAAACCTTGGGATGCAAGGCCAATTGCATCTACAGGTCCGTCAGGGTTCGAATTATCAACGTCTCTCGTAGATGAAAGATCCACAAATTCCAGTGGTGGATTGTCCCAGTCAGTGAAAAGAGTGACGAAGCCTTTGTCACTACACACTGCGTTGTCAGAAAAGCGAAGTTTCGTCAAAGTGCGGCAATTGACATGTATGATATCCAAAAGACGGTCATCTGCGGTAGATAGCCCCTCCAAGGACAACGTCCGCAAGCGTGGGCTGAGTTTTGAAACTGTGTTGAGCAGGATCTCATCACATATTTCTTGAACAAAGTCCAAAGACAAGTGTTGTAAAGATATCAGTTGGGAAATGGCTTGGAGAGAGCGATTGCCCATTTTCCAACACTGCTTCAATTTCAGACGTTGAAGCGATGTGCACTCCCTGCACATCACTTCCACTGTTTCATCATCCAAAGAGGAATCGAGATTGGATAATTTGAGGGATTCCAACTGGGGTCCCAATTTTCGGAACAGCTGCTGCCAACACTCATCTGATATCAAATTTGCGGCATCTAGCTGCAAGCGCTTGATCTTCAAGTTGCGGTCCAATAGGTATTCGACTACCTTATCTTTCAGTTGACCAGCAAAGCGAAAGTTCACGTGATACAGATTGGGCATGAAAGCGAAGATTTTCTCGAAGTCCTGTGTTTCAAGCTCTGTTGCAATTAGCATCCTCATGTCTTGACACATTGGCATGAAGTAGGATTGGAACGAGCTTGGTATCGAAAGTGGCGGGGCAAAGAAGAAAGGCTGGACAAAGCTGGTAGAATCAATCGGAAGGGAGCCAAGGAGGAAGAAATGAAATCCAGAACATACTTGCAGCATCATAGATATCAATAAAATTAAGCTCCGACCGAAGAAATAAATTAAGAGTTCTTGAAGTCAAGACACGCCTCTTGCACAATATCTGACTTAGACGATGAAGCAGTTGCGGGGGCAAATCTCCAAACTCTTCGATATCGTTAATGTTGTCGGCTACTTTCTATAATAGCCGAAGGTTAGCAAAAGGTCATACCATTGATCAAATCCTGACTTACCTTTGTACACATCTCCGCTAAGCTTGGAGCGCCCAATTGAGCAAGCCCATCGAGCAGATTACTTTGCTTCTGGCGACGCCCGCTCCTTGGTCCCCGCCTATTAGCTTTGGGTTTCTTCCCATCATCCGCTAGCTCCTTAGAACATCTTGCACAGAGGAGACCTCCACGGGGACCAGCTTTGCTGTAGGGGGTTACTGTAAAACGTTTACCACAAACCTCACAGTTCTCGAGCTGATATGCAAAGGGCTGAGAATCCTCGCACATCATCTCTCGGACGATATCATCATCATTGTCAGAATCGCCTGTGCCTTGAGCCTTACGACGAGCAAATTCTTTGCTTTTCTTGATCTTCGCGAGGGCGACAGCCTCTTTCCTTTTCCGCTTTTTCTTGTCTGCTGCCGACTCATCCGCATTTTTATATTCATCATCATTGACATGATCAGTTTCTCGTCGTTCAACAGCTGTCTGACGTTCAAATTGCCTTAACCGTGTGAGGTGGTCTT